CACCATAAATATTGCTTTTGATTTACACAATATTAAAATATTTAAGCTTTAATTAAACAATTCCATTATTTTTATTCATAATATTTTTAATTGGAATTTGTCTAGTTTTTACTTAATTATTTACAGTTGAAAAGCAGTGTAAAAATCTACACAAGAGGAAGCCATGAAAGCCATATTCACTCAGCCAAAATTAAGCCACACGAGCCAAGAGCCGCGTCAGCCCATTGAGCCATCAAGCCGAGCCTCTGCGTGGTGCCCAGCTCTTTCCCGCGTTCCCCACTCCATCTCGCGCGCGTTACCAGCACGCCGGCCTGCCAAGGCGCGCGTCTTCTTCCGTGCGGTCTCCAGCGCGTCTGAATCTCCCATCGCGTGGACCCCACGCCTGCTCACGCCAGCCTGCTCTCCCCTCTGCGCAAGCCACCTGTCAAAAGCGGGTCCCAATTGTCTCCAACACCAGCACACTTCTTCCACTCCGCGCGCAACACGTGGCAAATCTATTCATTTCCTCCAACCAAACTTTGACACGTGTCCAGATGAGGTGTTGAATCCGGATTTCTTCTCCGTGAGTTGCCAGATTTCTTCCCCAAATCAAATATGTAATCTCTCCAAATTTATGTGTAATTTTATTTTGTTTCCCTTTCTTTTGTAATTTTTTAGTTTTACTATTTATTTCCTTATTTGATAGGCAACCTCTAAACATTATAAATAAAGGGGTTAGCATAAGGTTTTTGTAAGTTTTGAATATTCAGTTTTCTGTCGTCTTACTGTCAGTCTCATATTTTCTCTTTAGAACTTGTGAGAATGTTTTGCAAGCTAGGCTAGAGTTTTCTTGGTGAGGTTAGAGACAAACTTCTGTTGAGTGACCCAATTCGGAGTTTTGATTCCTTGTGCTGTAAAGTTTAACATCTGAATGAATTAAATCTCATTTATTTTTCTATTACTTTTCAAAATATTGTGTGCCAATTTTTATATAAGTTCAGTCACGCTTTTCTTATGTAATTATGTCACGCATTGTTTTGTTATTCAAATTATTTTACAAATTGTCTTTTACTGTAATATTGTCAAATTGATATATTGTCGATTTTAGATAACTTGTAATGATAATATTTCTAGAGTCAATATAGAGATTTAATTTATTCAATTTTTTTATTTTGTGAATCAAAACTTGAATTGGTGAACGAGACATTAGGAATTTTCGACACCTTACCATTTTCACTACTGAATTTCTACACACAAATTTCCTCCTTTTTATTTTATTTTCAACAAAATCTCAAAAACTCTTCTTTTTCTTTAATTCACTTGTTATTTATCTTTCTTATACGCTTTTATTATGTTAATCTTTCTTGTTTATATATTACCTCTCTATGGATACGACCGTCCTTCTGTGCTACAATTGACCGCTTGTGACCATCACTTTTGGGCGTTAATCACTGGTTATTACTGTGTGAGGGATGAGTTAAGATTAACTCTTAATGAAGTTCAGTTTTAAGAACAAGTATCTTAAAAGTAACAAAGATATTGGAAGAACTTCACCTATGTAAACTTAGAGGTGGTGCCGTCTCAAAGAAGTGTTGGAGTTTCTCTTTGAAAAGTTTATGAATCAGGACTACACAAGGCCATGAATAGTGCAAAGATAGTGTTGTGTAGAATACTTGAACTCTAATGTATTTATGTGTGTGGATTCACCTGTATTATCATAAGGAATAACCGGTTCAAAGCCTTAGGCTACCTGGAATTTTGATATACATTTGTGAAACTTACACTAAGGTAAAATTCAAATCGAAAGATATTTTACTTTATGCATATGTACAGTTTCTGGATAGAATTCTTCAATATTATGTTTAAACAAATGGGGGATGGTTGAGATTGTTTAAATATAATATATAAGAATTTGTTAAGTTTTATCACATCTAAAAGCAAACATAATTTCCAGCGAGCAGGGCGTTTTGGCTCCGAGTTTGGGTGTTGCGACGCTGGAATGGACATAATTTCCAACAAGCAAGGCGCTTTGACGCTGAGTTTGGGCGCCGCGGCGCTGGACTGGATAGAGAGCAGAGTGCTGCGACACTGAGTTTGGGCGCCGCGGCGCTCGGGCTTGCGCAGACAGTTTCTAGTTTTCCAGAAACTGGTGCTGCAGCGCTGTAACGATCAGACACGTTTTTTGAAACATGAATTGACACCAATTCAAATGGAAAAGGTGCATTTTCAAGTCTGGTTGTGTCTGTACGTATTGGTGTGATAAAAAACTATAAAAGAATAAGAATGGCTGATAAATCAATGAGAAATAATTCTCTACAATTCTTCTCTCTTCTTGTTCAAAATTTCCAGAAAGTGTAAGAGTTATTGTGTTCTTAGTGTTGTTGTCATCTTGCTTGTGATTAACAACTTGAAGGTTTGTCATATCCTGTGAGCGATTTGCCGAGAACCCAAAACAATCTCTAACGAGAGAGGGTAAATTACGCTTTAAGAAAAACGTACTTTCTACGTGTTTCAAATCTCATTTCCCTCGAGATTTTCAATAATGTATTTATTCTATGACTTCTGAGAGTTTAGCATAAGATTATAGCTAGATAATGAGATAACAAAACCGAACTGTTATTTATACACATATGACTTTGGCATATTAGTTTTCTTCCAAATTATATTTATAATTTCCCATTTCAAGACACCAATTGTTTTATACATGGATAAGTAGGCAATTTTTAGACCAACTGAGTTGTTATCTTTTTTCTTGTTTAAAGAATTTTCTTTTTGTTTTTGTCCTTTTCTTTTCTGGGCCACATTAAGTGCTTTGAATTGAAATTTAGAGTATTTAGACAACCAGAACAACTTGTCAAATGTTGTTCAGCCGGCCACGATTTGTAAGAGCCTCAAAGGTCCAGACGTTCTGGTTCTCTAGAAAAGTCTCGTCACATATACAAATTTTTATTACAAAAGAACACCGTAACAAAAACGTTAAATAATGATTTATGTACATGTAGTTTACGACATTGTGATAACAATTCCAAACAATGATAACATATTCACCAAATAGTAGTATTTGAACCTCTATTTTTTTCCACCCTTTTTAGTTTACATGATCAAACTTGACTTTTGATAAATGTGACAAACACATATTTTATCTGTAGCTACATTTAACTAAAATTTCCAACATGTACATGATATCCCTTTCAAAACCAACCACCCATCGTGCATTAACTCCAATATTTAAGATTCTAATTTAAATATAGAAACCATGCATCTTAAATAATTATGGACCATGAAAATATTACTTATATGGAGGCTACACAAACCAATTTGATAGAATGCTCGGAAGAAGAGGGAGATGAGCAAATATGGAAACATTAGTGGGCCAAAGTCAGATTTCTTTAAAAAGGGAGAACAGAACAGAAAAGTAATGCTTCATAAAGAGAGAGAGAGAGAGGGAGAGAGATGAGATGTCTTAATCCAGGGAAGAAAGACAGAGTCCGAGATCGTCATGCTTGCAAATTGCATTTGCCAAAAAATGGAAGGGGCGGTTTGGTCGGTCTGACTGGGCTGTGGCCGCCAACTTTGGGACCAAAAAGCCAAACTAATTTGTTTCTTTAATTCAATTACCAATTAAGCCTTCCTTTTCTCCCAAATATATCAAAATAACATTCTTCCAATCTTAAACATATGCATGTGGATTCAACATGTTACTTTTGAACTATTCTCTTACCTTTATCCCTTAAACTTTTATCTCTATAGATTAATATTTTAATGAAATTATATGTTGTTTTGTGAATTCATCCTATGAAATATACATTTAAAAAAAAAAAAAAAAAAGAACGTCACCTCCTTCATAAAATTTGCTATAAAATTACTATATTTATTTTTCATTTTAAACTCTTAATTAATATTAAATTAGCTGTAATAGATTGCTCATAAATTAATCTATTGCTGGATCATGTATATGCTCAAGGCTAAATCTTCTCGTGTCTTGATATCATTCGCGTCAATATTAGTATTGGTAATTCTATTTTGATATGAAATTTTCCTTAAAAAAAAATCTAAATTATTTATCCTCTATTATTCGATTAAATGTTGCACTTTAGTTGTTTGATTTATTTGAGTAGAAATATGATCTAAATACATAATAATGAACTTATGGAAAAGATCACCAATCATGAAAGACTGAGAGACATTATTTTCATTAGCAGATTCTATAATTAATTTCATGTGTTTTTTTTTTTTTTTTTCCCCTTATACTATACTATAGGGTGATAACACTTATATCTCGAGATTGTTTTCTCTATTTTTTTTAATCATTTGTGGTATGTATGTCAATTCAATTAAATTTTAGATGACGTAATGGTTGTTACGACTATAGAGTGCGCAATACGTTATGAAATTTTAAAATATAAAGGTAAAATTTTGAGGACGAAAGTGTTGTACCCAATAATATAACAGTGTACTCGTAACAACAACACACGTGATAATAGCATGATGAATCCATTCAAAATTCAAATAAAATTTTAACAAAAGGTCCCATTTTCAGCATTTTTTTTTTTTTTTTTTATGTTTAGGGACAGGAAAAAATATGATATCAAAGTCTTATTTACTTATTTCCTTCAAGTGATAACTCCAAATTGTTTTATAAATATTTATTATAAGACATATTTTACTAGCTAAAAAAAGAGAAAGTTACCTTTAATGATTATAATCCAGTATCTGAAATTGAAAAATTGGGATAAAAGAATTTAAATGCATATCATCACAGTAATGTGAAAAAGATAAAAATGCACATGTTTTTGTTCTTCAAGTGTGAAGTTCTCAAATTGTTCTTTCTTTGATGTTAATGTCGTAAATAGAGGGAAATCTGGGGGCAAAGTGTTGAAGGATGTAACAAAACGCATCGTTCCGACCCAGCCATTGATTTGATTGGCTGTCCTATAGGGGCCCCACTTGGGGGTGTCCCACAACAAAAGGCACTAAAAATGGACTCCTACTTTCACTCACTCATATACTAGTTGGAATCTCCTCCTTTCTCTCTCTAAAAACTCTCTTTCAGAATTTTGCTCTTCCTCTTCATCATCATTCTCACCAGCATCCAATTTCCCAGTTTCCTGTTTTTCCAAAACAATCAAAAAAGCAAAAGAAAAACAAAAATAGAAAAAGGGGAAAAGAATTCTTTAACCAGGTAAAGCTCTCTTTCTCTTTTTCTAATTTTAAATATGCATCAGATCATAGTATTCTTTGTTATTTCGTTTTGTTCTCTGAACCAATTTTTTTTTTTTTTTTTTTTTTTTTAAATTTATGTTTATGATGTTATGCGATTAAAGAAGATGTCTTTGTTGAATTGTGATGTTGAATATTTATTTGCACCATTCAAAAAAAAAAAAAAAAAATTATGTTCCATGTTTAATATCTTTGTGTGTATTACATAGATGTGTTTGGTGATTCAGAATCTGAACCTGGGATTTTATTAATTCAGTAGATTCTAAGACTAATCTGTTTGTGATCTTCAATTGTTTGTACAATTCATGGAATTTGAAGAATTATATATTTTTAGATGTATGTATGTGACCAGAAGCTCAGTTTTGATGGGGTTACTTTCTGTGTTTCATTTTCAGTTTTCTTGTTGGTTCTAGTTTTAGGCTCTAGCTTAATTTCTGATCCCTTTAGTTTTTCACCAGATGGCACGGGCTTACACAACTTGTTTTGGCCTTTCTTTTCCTTTTTTTTTTTTTTAATCTTTTTTCTTAAATGGGAAAATTTTCTGATATTTATCTGCACAATATGGAAAATTTGTTTAGTGCATTTCTATTTATTTTTTGTAGAAATGACATAAACCAACCGGTGCTTGTATTTACGTTTGGCATTGGTCAAAGCTGTTTAAGGTGATATTTAACTCAGATTAAGTAAAAGCATTAAACTCTTTAGCACTAAATAAATAAATAAATAAATATTAATAAAAGCATTGAACAAGAGGAGCATAACATTTTCGTATATATATATATTTTTCTCTCAAGAACATTTTCGTACTTATTAGCACGTCTTTTGCAGCTGGGGTTGGACTCCAGCTTTTGAGTAAGCTCTTTCTAAAAAATAAAAAAAGGTGGCATTTTTTTCCTTTGAAAATTATACGTACGATAATTTATTTAAAATTAAGGAATTGGAAAAGTTGACACACAATTAAGTTGTCACAATATCTTCAAAATATGCGCTATGTACGGTATCGTTGATTCGATTAAAATTGCATTAAAATAAAAAAAGTAAGTAAAATAGATAGAATCTAATAGATATATTTTGAATGAAAATATAATAAACGTTTAGGAAAAAAAATATAATAAAGGTTGATCGTCTAATTTTTTTTTTTTTTTTTTTATCAATCTAACTTTTAATTTTGATTCAAGGTATTGATATTAATATATTTTTTCTATTTGTCTTCGTTTGTCTTTATGACTTATTGCGGGGCATCAGATGGTATTTATGTTTTGGCTGAAATTTAAAATAGGCAAAAGGAAAGAAAAGGAAAGAAAAAGACTGCTAGCTGGCCACAGGCTTTTAACTTAAGGAGAAAGCTAATACGGTAGGAATGTTTTTTCTCTACAAAATTATAGGGAAAAAAAAGAAAGATATTATTTTCTATTTTTAACTGTCAGATTTAATACGAAATTATTTGTGATTCATATATTTTTTAATTTGATGTGATTATAATTAAATCTAACGGTTAAAAAAATGAACTATCGATGGAAACTCTTGTCATAGAAAGTTTTTTTTTGTTTTTTACTAGATTGCTAAGATTAAATCCTTCTTTTTTTTAAGAGAATTAAAAAAGATAAAGATGCTTTTGGCTAACTGTAACTTTTTTTTTTTGGATAAAATACGAGATTAAACTCGTAATCCTTACTTAGATCATCTAGTGGCATTAAGGCATTGTTTATTTTACTGATTTGAATTTTAAGTTCTAAATTTTTACAATTAAAAACTTTTAAAAAATCACACATCTAACTTTTTTTGTTATAGTTAAAAATTTTTAAAAAATGTCACGTGTCAATTCAAATTTGTAAAGTGAATGAAGCTTAAATGAAGAAGTTGTTTGGTTGGGGGATTCGTACCTCGATTCGAATCATGACTCGTGGTTCGCTACAGTGTTTTTTCTCATAAAAAATACACGTAAATAAAAAATAATTTTAATCTCATAATTTTAATCCATGAATCAAACGTCTCTGAAGAGGTCTTAGACCGGCTAACTGTAACTTAACAAAAGGAATACTTGAGGAGGAAAAAGAAAAAAGAAAAAGAAAAGAAAGTAAAAGTCCCAAGTAAAAGAAATAAAAAGTGAACAATACAAACAAGAGATGGGTGCCTAACTTGTTTGTGGGGTCCATGTTATTTGTTACCCTTTTGGTGTTTTCCGATTTTTGAAGTGCTTCACAGCCCGTCACGTGCGAGTCACGTGAATTGGAGGGGCGTGATTGAACAATGAAAACATTTGATTGTCCGTAATATTTGCATATTTTTGAAAGTTAACTTTCAGTGGGTCCCATTGTGCTTTAATTGTCAATCCTTTCTCTTTATTATTATATATATTGTTTTCTTTTTTAGTGGAGCTTTATAATTATTTTTCGCAAGATGTACTTTCATTTTTTAAATACAGAAATTCAGAGAGTATTGTTGTCTTGTATTATTGATCTTTACATGTACTATGAGTAGATTTGAACAGAATAATTCTTTTTTTTTTTTTTGAAAGGAGAACAGAATAATTTTTGGGGCCCACAAATTAGATGATTTTACATGAAAACTTCACGTGGTGAGATCTACCTATATGGTCATCTTGTATCCATATAGGTCAAGTTTCTACTATTTGCATGTATTTTACCTTATTAATATCATAATTAAATGCAATTTATAATAAGATCTCCTATTATATATATATTTTTTTGAAATGGAACAATAATGATAATTTTGGAGTAATAATTTTGAATTATACAAATAATTAATGAAGCCGACCAAAGCCATGAGCATACACTCTTAGTGGTCCATGTAAAATTATATGGGAAAAAAAGAAAGATATTATTTTCTATTTTTAACCGTCAGATTTAATACGAAATTATTTGTGATTCATATATTTTTTAATTTGATGTGATTATAATCAAATCTAACGGTTAAAAAAATGAACTATGAATGGAAACTCTTGTCATAGAAAGTTTTTTTTTTTTTTTTTTTTACTAGATTGCTAAGATTAAATCCTTCTTTTTTTTAAGAGAATTAAAAAAGATAAAGATGCTTTTGGCTAACTGTAACTTTTTTTTTTGGATAAAATACGAGATTAAACTCGTAATCCTTACTTAGATCATCTAGTGGTATTAAGATATTATTTATTTTACCGATTTGAATTTTAAATTTTAAATTTTTACAGTTAAAAATTTTTAAGAAATGATACATTTAATTTTTTTTATTATAGTTAAATTTTTTTTAAAAATCAAGTGAATGAAGCTTAAATGAAGAGGTCTTAGGCCGGCTAACTGTAACTTAACAAAAGGAATACTTGAGGAGGAAAAAGAAAAAGGAAAAAGAAAAGAAAGTAAAAGTCCCAAGTAAAAGAAATAAAAAGTGAACAATACAAACAAGAGATGGGTGCCTAACTTGTTTGTGGGGTCCATGTTATTTGTTACCCTTTTGGTGTTTTCCGATTTTTGAAGTGCTTCACAGCCCGTCACGTGCGAGTCACGTGAATTGGAGGGGCGTGATTGAACAATGAAAACATTTGATTGTCCGTAATATTTGCATATTTTTGAAAGTTAACTTTCAGTGGGTCCCATTGTGCTTTAATTGTCATTCCTTTCTCTTTATTATTATATATATTGTTTTCTTTTTTAGTGGAGCTTTATAATTATTTTTCGCAAGATGTACTTTCATTTTTTAAATACAGAAATTCAGAGAGTATTGTTGTCTTGTATTATTGATCTTTACATGTACTATGAGTAGATTTGAACAGAATAATTCTTTTTTTTTTTTTTGAAAGGAGAACAGAATAATTTTTGGGGCCCACAAATTAGATGATTTTACATGAAAACTTCACGTGGTGAGATCTACCTATATGGTCATCTTGTATCCTTATTAATATCATAATTAAATGCAATTTAGAATAAGATCTCCTATTATATATATATTTTTTTGAAATGGAACAATAATGATAATTTTGGAGTAATAATTTTGAATTATACAAATAATTAATGAAGCCGACCAAAGCCATGAGCATACACTCTTAGTGGTCCATGTATTGATGACTTTTGCATCATTTGCTCCCTCACTTCTCTATCCTTAATAATGTTTTTCTATTGCTTTTTAATGATTTTCATTCAACTTGTAATGTATTTCTGTAAATGTAGAAGAAATTTTTATTGTAAAATAGATGGTTCAATAAATTGGTGTTGGTATCCTACTTTAAGATTATTTTGACCATGTATCTATCATCTAGAGCTCTAGTTTATTTTCCTATTTAAACAATTAATTTATGTTTTTGTTTGTGTTATATATATATATATATATTAAATAGAAACAGGTTTAATTCAGCAAACAAAAAATAGAAACAGGTATAGCAAAATTAATATAAGTAATATATGAGTAGTAAAACAGGTAGATAAGACAATTAAAAGAGGGAGAGTCTAAAAATTGAAAAGAAAAATGTGTTAATGTAGTGGGGTACCTATTGATAGATTTCGTTTAAATCACATTAAAAAGAAACAATATACATAAAAAAAATATAAAATGTGATACAGATCTAAACTGTCCAAAGTAGAATCCTAGTGTATCTCTAATTCTTGTTGCTACGATTTTGATGAGTTACCATTACGAAAAAAACTGGTTCTATCCTTAATAATGTTTTTCTATTGCTTTTTAATGATTTTCATTCAACTTGTAATGTATTTCTGTAAATGTAGAAGAAATTTTTATTGTAAAATAGTATCCTACTTTAAGATTATTTTGACCATGTATCTATCATCTAGAGCTCTAGTTTATTTTCCTATTTAAACAATTAATTTATGTTTTTGTTTGTGTTATATATATATATATATATTAAATAGAAACAGGTTTAATTCAGCAAACAAAAAATAGAAACAGGTATAGCAAAATTAATATAAGTAATATATGAGTAGTAAAACAGGTAGATAAGACAATTAAAAGAGGGAGAGTCTAAAAATTGAAAAGAAAAATGTGTTAATGTAGTGGGGTACCTATTGATAGATTTCGTTTAAATCACATTAAAAAGAAACAATATACATAAAAAAAATATAAAATGTGATACAGATCTAAACTGTCCAAAGTAGAATCCTAGTGTATCTCTAATTCTTGTTGCTACGATTTTGATGAGTTACCATTACGAAAAAAACTGGTACTCTTTTTGGTTACCACGTCAGGTTGTTTGTCTCTATTGGCTCACATTTCAAACATTAGTACCAAGGCAAATGGTCCTTGTCCTTTCCCACTAATCAAAGCATATCCGCAGTGTATGAATTTCATCTTCAGTCAATTACAGAATTGCCCTTTACCTATTTCATCTATTCTTTTTTTTTTTTAATCCTTCTGCTAATATTCTTACCGCGTGGGTGCCATGGTAGTGTGACATAAGGTGTCTTTGGGAGATACTCCATTTATTTTGATAAATTAGAGGGATCTTTGACTTTAGAATTTCTTAAGGGTTGCCAAAGTGAATATAAAATTCAATATTTGCAAAATAGGCTCAGTTTATTGTCTATTAACTGCTATGTGATTGGAATTTTGTTCCTTTATTTTTTTGTTTTTTGTTTTTTTGGTTGAAATCAGCATATTGAACTAGTGAACTTTTTGTTATGGTTAAAAGTTCTTACTTGACTTGATCAACAACAGACTTTGACCATACAATAAAAATTGGAAATATTCTACAGTTGGGTATGAAAAATGTAGTGCTCTATTTTAAACCATCTGGGACTTTGACTGGGTCTATTTTGGTGCGATTTTTACCATATTTAACGTTCAGAAACATATACTACCCTTAGGTGTCTCCTACTATAGAAAGCTCCTCAATATTGTACTCTGATACATACTAGCATATACTACTCTTAGGTGTCTCCTACTATAGAAAGCTCCTCAATATTGTACTCTGATACATACTAACATATATTACCCTTAGGTGTCTCCTACTATAGAAAGCTCCTCAATATTGTACTCTGATACATACTAACATATATTACCCTTAGGTGTCTCCTACTATAGAAAGCTCCTCAATATTGTACTCTGATACATACTATGTAGCAATGTCAAAATTTACCCAAAATGTACTTTTTGCTAGCTCTGTTATACTGCTCTTTGTTGCATACCTTGAGTTTCCATATTCATGTACATGATTTGTCTAAAATGCACAATAATCACAGAGGGGAAGAGTCACAGTAAAATGGCAGAAGAGGCACAAGTGAATTTGGAAAATCCGGCGACAAAGGCTTCTGTCGAGGGTGCCGAGAGCACTTCCAATGCCACCAAGGTAACTACATTGTAATTGCTATAACTTAAACCATTATTTTTAATGCACTTGGGGATTTAGGTGTGTAAGATTTGTCATTCATACTTCAATCAAGGGAATCAATTAGTTTTTCCAAATTTGTTAAAGGATTGAAGAATATTGATGTTGATGAGCCTATATTTTGCAGGTAATAAATGGGGATTCTCAACCTGTAGGAAAAGAAAGAAAAAAAGAAGAGGAGGAAACTGCTTTGGATGGAGAATTCATTAAAGTTGACAAGGAATCACTAGAGGTCAAACCTCATGATGTCCAAATATTTGGAGATGACGAGACACCTGTTATCGAGACGAGCTCGAGCAATTCAAGTAGAGAATTGCTAGAATCCCAAGAGAAAGTGAGAGAACTCGAGCTTGAGATCAAAAGATTAGCCGGGGTGTTAAAGCAGTCGGAGTCTGAGAATTCACAGCTCAAGAATGAGGTTTCGGTTTCAAAGGAGAAGCTGGAACAAAGTGGACAGAAGTATGAAGAGCTTGAGCTCAGTCACAAGAAATTGCAAGCGCAACTTGTTGATGTCGAGGAGAAATACAGTTCGCAGCTCAATGCATTGCAAGAGGCAGCGCAATCGCAGGAAGCAAAGAACAAGGAGTTGAACGAGGTTAAGGAAGCATTTGATCGTCTTAGCCTGGAGCTCGAGAGCTCTAGAAAGCAAATTCAGGAGTCGGAGCAAGAACTTAAGTCTTCTGTAAGCGAGGTACAGAAGTTTGAGGAGCTGCACAAGCAAAGTGGTTTACATGCTGAGTCTGAGACAAAAAGGGCGTTGGAGCTTGAGAAACTGCTGGAAGAGACAAAATTGAGAGCAAAAGAGGTAGAAGATAAGACGGCTTCATTGCAAGAAGAACTTAAGGGTCTGCATGTCAAGATCACCGAGAATGAAAAGGTTGAAGAAGCACTGAAGTCTACAACGGCAGAGCTTTCTACAGCCCATGAGGAGCTGGCTCTTTCGAAATCCCAAGTGCTGGACTTGGAGCAGAGACTGTCTTCAAAGGAAGCTATTATTAGTGAGCTGACACAGGAATTGGTTGAGAAAAAAAATTCAGAATCTCACGTGAAGGAACAACTTTTAGCTCTTGAAACTTTGGCTGCTTCGAGTAAAGAAGATATTCGAGTGAAAGTTTCCGAGTTGGAAGAGGTAAAATTGAAGTTGCAGGAGGAAGTAGCTGCAAGGGAATCAGTTGAAGCTGCCGCTAAAACCCATGAAGCACAAGTCTCTGCTGTGCGGGAGGAATTGGCGAAAGTGACCAATGAGAAAAAAGCTATTGAAGAAGCTCTCGCAGATCGGACTGGTGATTCGGAGAGGCTGAAGGAGTTGTGCAGAGATCTTGAGGAGAAACTGAAGCATTCATATGAAAATTTTGACAAGACAGATTCTCTTTTGTCACAAGCTTTGTCAAACAACACGGAGCTCGAGAAGAAGTTGAAGTCTCTGGAAGAGCTCCATGCTCAATCGGATACTGCTGCTGCAACTATTACTCAAAGGAACCTTGAGCTTGAGGGTCTTGTCAAATCTTCGAATGCAGCAGTAGAAGAGACGAAATCGCAGCTGAGAGAACTCGAAACACGCTTTATCGAAGCAGAAAAAAGGAATGTGGAGCTTGAGCAACAGTTGAACTTGTTAGAACTCAAAAGCAATGATGCTAAGAGAGGACTGAAAGAATTCTCTGAGAAAGTATCTGAACTCAATGCGACGTTGAAAGAGGTTGAGGAAGAAAAGACACAACTGAGTGGTCAAATGCTAGGATATCAGGAAAAGATAGCACAGCTGGAATCTGCCTTGAGTCAGTCATCATCGAAAAATTCAGAACTTCAGGAGGAGTTGAAGATTGCTGTGGCAAAATGTTCCGAACACGAGGATAGAGCCAGTATGAATCATCAAAGAAGCATTGAACTAGAAGATTTGATCAAGACGTCTCATTCAAAAGCTGAGGATGCTGGTAAAAAGGTGAGTGAATTGGAGTTGTTACTCGAAGCGGAAAAGTATAGAATCCAGGAACTTGAAGAACAGAGAAGCACCTTAGCAAAGAAGTGTTGTGACACAGAAGAGGATTCCAAGAAATATTCTGATAAGATATCTGATCTTCAATCTGAACTTGAGGCATTTCAAGCAAAATCAACAAGTCTTGAAATTGCATTGCAAGGTGCCAACGAAAAGGAAACGGAGTTGATTGAATCATTGAATGTAGCAACATCTGAGAAGAAAAAGTTGGAAGATGAATCAAATGGTACAAGTGAGAAGCTTGCTGAAGCAGAAAATCTATTGGAAGTGATGAAAAATGAACTGACTCTGACACAAGAGAAATTGGAAAGTATTGGAAACGACCTCAAGGTTGGTGGAGTTAGAGAAACTGAGATCATAGAGAAGCTCAAATCTGCGGAGGAGAAACTCGAGCAACAAGAAAGACTCATAGCGAAAACAACTGAGAGGAATTCAGAACTTGAACTGTTGCATGAATCCCTGAAGAGGGACTCGGAAATTAAAATCCAAGAAGCAATAGTAAGTTTCACGAGCAGGGATACGGAAGCGAAATCTCTATTTGAGAAACTAAACATTCTTGAAGAACAAGTGAAGGTTTACCGGGAGCAGATAGGAGAAGCAGCTGCGAAATCTGCATCATTAACTGTGGAATTAGAGCAGACTTCGGAGAAACTGGCTTCTTTGCAAAGTGAAAATGAAGAACTAAGGAACCAGATCTTAGGAGCGGAAACTAAAGCTTCTCAATCTATATCAGAAAATGAGCTTTTAGTTCAGACAAATATTCAACTCAAGAGCAAGGTTGATGAACTTCAGGAATTGTTGGACTCTACTCTTTCGGAGAAGGAAGCCACTGCTGAACAACTTGAATCCCACAAGAGTACAATTGCAGAATTAACTGAGCAGCATTCAAGATCCATTGAGCTTCACTCTGCTACTGAATCCCGCTTCAAGGAATCAGAAACAAAGTTGGAAGAAGCCATTCGGAGATTCACTCAGAGAGATTCGGAAGCTTATGACTTGTCTCAGAAGCTGAATGAGCTACAACTCCAACTAAGCTTATATGAAGAACAGGCTCATGAAGCATCCACAGATTCCAAAACTAGAAAAACTGAGCTCGAAGACACACTTCTGAAACTGAAACACCTGGAGAGCACCGTAGAGGAACTGCAAAGCAAATCATCTCATGTTGAGAAGGAGAGCAGAGAGCTAAGTGAGACCAATGTGAAGCTTACACAGAAAGTGGCTGAGTTCGAGGCAAAACTACACGATTTAGAAACAAAACTGTCTGCAGCTCTTGTTGAGAAGGATGAAACAGCTGAACAGCTTCGCACTGCGAAGAAGACTGTAGAAGATTTAGTACAGCAACTTACTTCGGAAGGGGAGAAACTACAATCTCAGGTTTGCATAAAAAATTGTCTCATTAATATTGACTGTTAGAACATATTAACCGACATTGCCCCAGCTCCTACAACTTAAATTTCTGTATTTAGGTGATTCTAAGTTTTGAAAATTCAGTTCTAAGGAGACACCTCTTATTGGTATTTCATTTTTGGGCATGTCCATTATTTTTTCTATATGCGAAGAGGGACCACTAGAAGCGTATTTTGATTTTAGTTCCTAACAGATTAAGTTTTGGGGAATGTTTACTTTATATTGTCTGTTTGAAACTGTTATCCACAATGTTCTAAAAATGTCTGCTTGTGCCATAGATATCTTCGGTTAAGGATGAGAACAACCTGCTTAATGAAACGCATCAAAATGCCAAAAAAGAACTTCAGTCTGTCATTCTTCAGCTTGAAGGGCAATTGAAAGAAAGCAAAGAAAATGTAGATGCTTTAAAATCTGAGAATGATAATCTTAAGGCTGAGATCAAGGAAAAAGCTCTTCTACAATCTCGGTTGAAGGAACTTGAAGAACAATTGTTGAAAACTGAAGCTCGGCTAAAAGAAGAGGTAAACTTTTTCTATTGTTTTTGTTTTCAGAAATGTGGTTAGAATGAGCATGTTTTGTTTTTTTTTCTTTTTTGTTTTTTTTGTTTTTCCTGTTGGCCCTGAAAAAAAAATGAAAGATCGCTTCTGACTGTACGCGTGTAGGTTGAAAGCATTCGATCAGCTTCTGCGGAAAGGGAGGCGGAATTGACGTCAAAGTTGAAGGATCATGCCCAAAAAGTCCATGATAGAAGTTTATTAGATGAACAAGTGATACAACTTCAAAAAGACTTGCAACTTGCTCACACCACCCTTGCTGAACTGGTTAGTACTTGCCATGTGCATGTACTTATTTTCATGTACATACATTGAATATCAATGAAAGGAATTAATAAATGACTTGTTAATATGTTGTTTGTTTGAATTTAACCCAGCAGAAAGATGTCAGTTCTCAAAAAGTCTTGGATCAAGAAGCAGCAGTGAAACGTTCTCATGAAGAGCTTGGAGCTAGGAACAAAGAGATTACACTTCTACAGAAGCAAGTAAAAGATCTCGAGCACAAACTGCAGCTGGCTGATTTAAAAGCAACAGAAAAGGTCTGGCTCTTTTTTATTTTGCCTTAATTCATTTCCAATTACGTCGGTTGGCCTTAACATGTTTTGATGTTCTACACACACATTTTGCATGATTAGGGCATCTTCAATGCAATGCCAAATTAGTATGCCAATGCCAAAATTTGAGTTGGAAAATCACCCGCCAATGCAATGCTATTCATGGTGCTAAATTTAGCATATACATTTAATTGTTTTTGGTTGAGATATTTACTTTTTCATATTATCTTTACAACATTTGCATTTTCAAATTATTTTAGTATTAAAAGTTTACAACTTTCAAAGCTTAATGATTTAATTCAAAAGGTAGCTATGGCATTTGAAAGAGCATTATGCATTGGAGCACAGATGATAATAACATATCAAATATCCTATTCTCTCTTTTGGTTCCAAATATAGCATTAACATTAGCACTTAGATTAGCAACGCTTCAAATCTCTTGTATGATTTTTCTTCATATAGAACTACTTTCTAGCTTATATAGAGATAAAATCACGCTTGTAATTTGAAAACACAGCCTTAATGTTCTCACTAAGAACAGCGAAAAATTCGCCTACTTTTGCAATTTTCTGTTTGTTGAAATGGAGAAATCCAAGCTAGCCACCCCATATATCAGTGAAACTCCATAACAATTTTCAATTCTCCAAGCACATGAAAAAGCAATTATTTATCTCTAGATTGTATTGCAGGGTGATGGGAGCGGTCATGCTGCACTTAAGGAGGGATTGGAAGTGAAATCCAGGGACATTGGAGCAGCCATATCTTCCCCATCCAGAAGGAAGAGTAAGAAAAAGTCAGAGGCAGCATCTGCTCAAACATTGTCTTCCGTGGAGGCTCGCACTCTAACTGTGGAGCAGTCGCCTCTGCTGAACTATAAATTAATCTTGGGTGTTGCTCTGGTGTCTGTGATCATTGGCGTCATTCTTGGGAAAATATATTAATTGGCTTTGGAACTATGGTTTTGGGGCTTGCCCCTTATTGTTCTTTGTTCTTTGGTTCTTGTTTTTGATATAAAGTTGTGCAGAGCAGATTTGAAAGCTTTGTTTGTATGCTTTCAAGATTAAGGTTTTTTTGACATTATTGGTCAGGGAATTTGTTTTTATTTCTACCCCTCACCTCGCAAAGTAAAATACTGTTGATTCATAAATTATCATCCATGTTTGTATTTATTTTTATTATTATTACTGGTATTACAGATGTTTCAGGTTTCGTTCTTTGCGACTCTGTTTAGCAATGATTTATTTGTGTTTATTTATTTGTTGCTCTCCATAAAAAAGTGGATCATTGGTATTGTCCCGCTCTCATCCTCTTCATCACTTTAGAAACCTGGGATCTACCAATGTAAGGGAAATGGCAATCCAATTCTACTTGAAAGACGGGTCTAGTTTATACATCTCTTTTTTCTTTTTAAAAAAAAATAATAAAATAAACAAGGGTTTTAGCCGATGGTGCAAATATACATTACAAGCACAACTGCAAAACTTGAAGCGCACAAAAGCTCTGCTCAAGGCAGTTTTGCTTGGAGGATGGAAATCTTTGCCTGGTCCAAATTCTTAACATCTGTTTATCAAAAGACTTAAGGATATTCATCAGTCCTTGATGTTTAACATAAATGCCTTGAGAGATCAAGCGTTCTTTTTTGGGAGAATTCTTTGGTAGATACCCTATCGTTCTTTTCTTCTGGTGGGTGAGGTGTGTTTGAACAAGCATAAGTTAAAAACTATCATTACTATCATTACTATCATTACCCTACCGTAGAATTTGTGTCTCTATTATTTGGAGTTTAGTCTCAGTCAACTGAGTTAATCTATCGACTGTAATGATTCTATCTAACGATGCTTAGTCACGCTCAATCTTTATGTACTGAGTGAATCTTTTCCTGTTAGGTCTCAGCATTTGTTTTTTTCCCCTGCACTTCATCTATCTTTACTGGTGGATTCAGTCAATGTTCAGGATCGAATTTCATTGTAGAAGGTGATTACTTGCTATTAGTATAAGTAATTTTGTTTTAATAAAGTGAAATATTTTTCCTCAAAAAAAAAAAAAAAAAAAAAAAACTTCCCTTACCCCACCAAAAAATTTTTTATAAGTAATTTTGTTTTAATAAAGTGAAATATTTTTCCTCAAAAAAAAAAAAAAAAAAAAAAAAACTGTCCTTACCCTACCATAGAATTCTCTTTTAATTTTTGGCATAAAAAAACACATGTACAGTTTTCTTTAAGCAAAGGAAAAATATATATAGAGCTTTCTTGCTTCTCTCTATGTACCACTCCGTAAAGACAGCATATGAAGTCAGTATCATGCTTTCTGGATGTTGCCCTACTAATTAATTTACTACCATTAGCAAAAAAAATAATAGTAACAATTTACTGCATCATGTTAATGACTTCCTCCTTGACCTCCTTCAATCCATTAAGAATCTCGCAATCATCAAAACCTGCACATTGACCAAAACTTCAGAAAACCTTATTAGTGACTAAAGATTTCAAAAGTTGCAGAAAGTTAGCTACCTGCACGCAAATCTTCAGCTTCTTCATTCGAAAGTTCTAAAAGCATCGAGTTAACGGAAGGCGGATCAACTGACATCCAATTCGCAGACCTAATGTCCTCTAAATTTACTTCCTTCTCCATGATCCAGTCTTCAACAACACTTTTCCTGTCAAATGATAAAGGGTCTGCATATTCCAGCACTTTGGTCCTATTAGACCTGAAAGAAAAATGAGTAAGCAACAAAGCATTATTCTTTTCTCTTCATCATTAATCAAATGCCATACGGAGGTGTAAATTGAGCCAATTGATCTCTTCTTACATTTGTCTCAGTTGCAAGTTGTACTGAACAAAGACAAGATCATTAAGCCTTTGATGCTCTAAACAGTTCCGTGTCTCGTGCAATTGTTCGAAGGGAATTTGATTTGATTTGTGATGAACTAAACTGCAAGTTTGACTGAGAAGACGAACAGAAAAACGAGACAAAAAAGAGCAACCACCTCCATACGTAGACCACCATTCAGCTTTTGAACAAACAAAAACCTTGAATAAGTCGGTCAAGACATACAATCATCTCCAAAATGGATCATACCCATTTAAAAAAAGAAAAAAAAAAAAAAAGAGAGGGGGTTGAACTAGATCAACAAGGCTGTCGGTTACAACCTCCAAACTATTCGCAACAAAGGTTTCTTATCGAATATGTACTCCCCTTATAAAGTTACTTAAATAGGGGGCACCTTGTATTGATCCCGTGAATTACTCGGAGCAAGTCCCAGACACCATGGTTATCCAAAAAAAAAAAAAAAAAAGGCTAAAACATGAGGGACATTTTCTTTAGATTCTACTCTATAGAAACTTATGGGACGTTTGGTTCATGGATTCAGAACCATGATTTATGGTTCTGATTTTTGAAATTCAAATTTTTTGTGAGAGAAAAACACTGTAAAGAACTAAGAACCATATTCAGAACCAGAGGCGAATCCTTAAACAAACATCTCATTAATTTTCAAGAGTAATTACTTTTGAACAAATTATGACACAATAACATTGGAGTAAACGGTAAAATCTAATAAAAAGTACTCACCAGGAAGAAGAGTGTCTCTGGCTCTAATTGCTAACTTCCTCCCCAAATCTCCAGCAGCATCTTTGTACAAGTTTATCTCTTTGACAATTCTATCTTGAACTTCTATATCGGAAATGAACCTTTCGATGCAGTCAAACACTCCAGACACGATGCTGTTAGCCACGTCTCCTTCAACACTATAAAAGAACTTGGGGTTAAGGTAGAAACCCGCAGTATGAAGAGGATGGTGCCACAAGTTTTTCCACCTGCAATCGATAATATTCCAGTAGAACATATAATCTTCTCTTTTAGGAAGCTCTCGCTTAATCATTTCTTTTGCTCGATATATCCCTGCAAAAACATATCCCATTGCAGCCCTCTTCTTGCTACCAACAATGTTCAATGCTCGCAATAGTGGATCTGTTAAACGGTTGATCAAGATAATTGAAGACCAAAATGAACGATTAGTTAATGTATCTAGCAACACCAACCCTTCCACTGTATTTGCATGAGAGGAGCCCATCCACTCCTGTGAAGTAACCATGGACTGCAAATTAAGTTTCAAATCAGCTATTTGTTTCAATGTCATGAAGTTAGTAATACAGAGACATTCTCCAGGCCTAACAATGTCAATGCCAAACGTATACCTTCTCATTATATTCAAAACTACAGTATGCTTGTAGATGAATCTTGTAACGGATTTCGCTTGTTCAATTGCCGACTTTATCCACTCAATTTTGCCGAAATCCTCAAGCATCAATTCTATGCAGTGAGCTGCACAAGGAGACCAGTAGAGGGTAGGGAAAGTCTCCATCAATCTTTTCCCAACAACAATATATTGCTCTTCACTGTTTGTTATAACTTGTAAAATATGTTTAACTCCAACTTCTTCAATTACTTGTTGAAACAAATTGTGCAAAGCATCAGGAGACTGTATAATGTCTGAGACATCCGCGGATTTTAAGAAAATTGTTCCTTCAGGGCAATATACTGAAAAGTTGAGGAAGCTTCTACCTTTTCCAGAGTTCCATTGGCTGGCTAAAAGAGAACAACCGGTTTTTTCCCATCGTGCTGTACACTGATCAATGTCATTTCTCACTTCTTCAACCACATCCTTCAGTATCCAACCACGGAGATCATGATATGAGGGTGCTATAACCCCTGAACTCCCTGACGCAATTACATCGATCATCGGTTGGAAATAAACTGATTCCTTAACTGCATCCAGAGACGCCCCAATTTCGTACAAAAATCTCCCTATAGCCACATGAACTCGTCGTTGACTATTAATCCTTTCCAATTCAAGGTCATTACTAAGGATACCAGCTTCTTCACCAGCATAAGAATTTTCATCTATTAATCTCTTCCTTTTAGTGGCACTTGGATTACCAATTTTGACTTCTTCCCGATTTACCAAAACATCTGAATGGGGAAGAGAAACCAGCGGCAATCTTTGTTGAGCGTGTTCAGCAAATGAATTTGAATTTTCTCTAAGAGTAATACCAGCTGGATTGTGACTTGATTTAGTAACATTACTAGCAAAACCGGCACCAATATTTTCTATCGAAGAATTTACATCTCTCAACCTAAATCTTCTCTCCACACTCATTCCAACATCTTCTTTGTGACTAAAGGAAAATTTCGAATCGGGCTCTCCACTCGGTTCCAATAGCGCATTATCACTAAACTCAACACCTTTAACAACATCAACGCCGCCAGAAGAAACTGGAAGAGAATTTCTCAATGTCCCCAACAAAACTCCATCCATATCCACACTCCTACTACTAATCCCGACATCTCCTCCACGAACCACCAAAGCCGAATCGGAAATTCGGTTGGACAATGAGTAGTCATCTAATTCACTAGAACCCTGGTTAACAACAACAAGGGTTTGCTTCTTTTTCTGCCTCTTGACAGCAAGGTTATTCTCTAAATGCTGCTGCATAGCAATCCGAACATCCTCGGGGGCCCGGTCGCAAATCGGACCGTTGCCCTTCCGACCGGCAAGATGCTCTTTGAGCCTATGAATCCCACCGCCCTGAAACATCTTACCACAATAAAGACACTTCTTTAACTCAACCTTATTAACAACCCCATTTGAGTTTTCATCGTTTTTCACGAAAACCTGACAGTGTTTCCAACCCGGGTCTTGTTTTTGTGGGGAAACGGTTATGGGTTCCAAACCCTCCATAGACGCCATTCCCTCAACAGTAACGAACTCGAACCCCCAAAAAAAAAAAAATTCAATTAACAACTTTCCAGAGAATGACGCATTTCGTGTAACAAGAAAAACGAAACAAACATTTTTTTTTCAAATTTCGAGAAAATCAGAATTCTTATCACCATTCCTGGAAATAACTAGAAGGAGAAGATTAGCGACTTTTACCTTGTGCTTTTGGCTTTGCTGTTTCCCGTGTCTTTGAAGTTTGAAAAGAATTTCTCTCTGTGAGAAGTTTTATTTTATTTTATTTTATTTTTTCATTTTTTTTAACTGGTGCAAAACAAAGCAAAAAGCTACAAGGTCAACGTGTTCTGTTTTAGTTTTTCTAATAATTACACGTTTTTCTTCAGTTTTGATTTTTTTCAATTAATGGCCCTGTACTTTTTGTAATTAGAATGAATTACCTTTTAATATGAGATTGTCGATGAATTGGCATGCCAAATTAAAAAAAAAAAAGTTATTTACCTTTTTTATCATGTTGTTTTAAGTTTATTTTGAAAGTATACTTTTAGTTTTCTATTTTTTAAATGTTTTTTTTGTTTGAAAAATTAAAATTTCTTTAAATTACATTTAACACGCAAGTGGATACTTTTTCAGTCAATACTAGATTTGACCTTAAAGATGCCCCTAAATACTAGAAAGGATCATCATCAAAAATATAAAATAAAAATATTCAATATGCCTTTGCTATTTCCATCTTTTTTAAGTATTTTTTTATTTTTTTATTTTTTTATTTTTTTTATTTTTTATTTAAAGGTGTTTTGGGTTTTTTTTTTTATTAAAATTTAGGGGTGGTTGGAAAAAAAAAAACTATATATATGAACTTGTTATTAAGCGTAATCTAAAAGTATCTATTAGATAAATAATTAAAAAAAATACATTTTGAATAAACTTAAAACACATGGTATAAAAACGTACATAACCCAAATAAAAACAAAACCAAAAATAATTTAAGATGGGATTGGTTTGCTTGAAGTTTTCCAAGAACTCATTAAGTTAGTTTGGTTGTGGTTCATTTCTACCGAATCAAATTAAAAACAAACCAGAAGTTGCATGTGTCCAGAAAATCATTTAATAAAATGCTATTGGTTTACTATTAATTTTGATTTCCGAAATGTAAAATTTAGTATTTGATTTGGTTGTTTAGTTTTATTTGGTTATAGAGTTTTTAATTTGTGTGAGAATAACGACATACATGCTTAACTTTGTATACGAATGTTTATGAAAAAAAAAATATATATATATATATATTTATGATGAGTCAAACGATTAAAAGAATAAAACCAAACCAATTTCAATATGTTTGGTTTGGATTAGTTCACTATAAGACAACTAGGGTAATTGGTTTGGTAGTTTGGTTTAGTTGGACACCCTAATTTCTCTTTGGAGGTATTTGTCTTTTTCGGCATATAATCTTGATGCTCAAGATTTTGAAGTTTTCTGTTTGCATAGCGGAAAACTTTAGTTTATAAGTCAATTTTTAATGTTAAGAATTAGCTGCTCTAATTTATATCACTCAAAAGCAATATTAAATCACAGAAGAAGATTTTTTTATATAAAAAAAAAAACACGTAAATTTATAGTGGTTAACGATTAATGTTAGAGTGGCGTCTATTTTCTGTTGATGCAATAATTTATTGTGTTGAAAAAAAAAATTTACAAAATCGCACATCTCACAATTCTTTGTATTTTCTTTAGAAAAGTGCAAGTTGGCATCGTACTTGGAAAGTTCTGCATGACTTCATATCATTTAAAGAATGCTATGTATACATTGTAGCATTTCAACAAAATGGGATTATATGAAAGCAAATGCCGCTTTCCTTTTGCTACAAGTGACGGGGTCATGTGGAGTTACTCCCATGTGGAGTTTAATATCATTCATCTTTATTAGGGTGATGTCTATTTTCCACTGATGCAGTAATTCATTGTGTTGAAAAAGAAATTTACAAGATCGCATCTCTCACAATTCTCCGTATTTTCTTTAGATATCACTCGAAAGCAATATTAAATCACAGAAGAAGATTTTATTATAAAAAAATAAAATAAAAAAAAATAAAAAAAAACACGTAAATTTATAGTGGTTAACGATTAATGTTAGAGTGGCGTCTATTTTTTGTTGATGCAATAATTTATTGTGTTGAAAAAAAAAATTTACAAAATCACACATCTCACAATTCTCTGTATTTTCTTTAGAAAAGTGCAATTTGGCATCGTACTTGGAAAGTTCTGCATGACTTCATATCATTTAAAGAATGCTATGTATACATTGTAGCATTTCAACAAAATGGGATTATATGAAAGCAAATGCCGCTTTCCTTTTGCTACAAGTGACGGGGTCATGTGGAGTTACTCCCATGTGGAGTTTAATATCATTCATCTTTATTAGGGTGATGTCTATTTTCCACTGATGCAGTAATTCATTGTGTTGAAAAAGAAATTTACAAGATCGCATCTCTCACAATTCTCCGTATTTTCTTTAGAAAAGTGCTATTTGACATCGTATTTAGAAAGTTCTGCACGACTCCATATCATCTAAAGAGTGCCACATATACATAAATCAAATGCAGCATTTCAACAAAATGAGATTATTTGAAGGCAAATGTTGCTTTCCTTTTGCCACAACTGATGGGAGTCATGTGGAGTTTAATATCATTTCTCTATTGATCCTAACCCCTCTTCCCTTTATGAAGAAAAACTCGAGAGTAATAATTAGATTGTACAACTTAACATTGGATTTGTATTGGGAGATGGTAGTTCAATTTTCCAACGTGCCAACCGAGAACCGATTGGTGATCTCCCCTTGCGGGAACAGCTAGATCAAGACTTGATATTCCATGGTGTCGCCCTTGATGATCATTTCCCTTGTGTTTGGCATTGGTGGCGTTGTCAAGGGGGCTGATGGTGCTATTTTTGGTGTGTTTGCCAAATATTTTCTAAAGTGTGTTTCCTCTCATATTGCTTAGTGTTATTGCATGGGGAAAATAGTTGGCCTCTTTCTTAGATATCTCTTGATGCAATGAATAGCGTCAGAGATCTTTGATATCTCCAATCTTTTGGAGGAGACCAGTCGTTTTGCCTCGATCTTCTGATAATGACATATTCATAAATTTATTTTAGGAGGGACACAAATGAAAAAAAAAATTATAAACCAACGTAATGATAAAGATCAAGATACAGTACAAAAACAAAAAAAAACAAAAAAAACAAAAAGTGCAAATATATATAAATTCTACAAGCAGTCTCCCAAGAAAAGGAAATCTCTAGTAGTTTAGAGTTTGATGTAACTCAAAAATACCCATGTTTAATGTGAAAAGTATGCATATAAGATAGGATTATTATTACTAGTGCTTATGAACTTAAAAAATAATCACTTTGCCTTTTAAATTTTAAATTGTTCTCACTTAACCCATTCTGTTGTAATTTTTGTTAAAATTAGATAGAAAAAAAAGAGTAATGTAATCGCGTAGTATTTCTATTTAAATTTATGTTAGAAACAAACATATAAAAACCACGTGACAACAATTAATTTTCTTTTTTCATTGGATTTTAACAGAATTGCAACAGAAAGGTTAAGTGGAAACAATTTAAAATTTATAAGATAAAGTGAAAATTTTTAAAGTTTAAAAGACAAATTGAAAATGACCCTAGAGTTTAGAAGACATTAGTAATAATAATCATATAAAATAGTTGTTGCCCGAGAACGACCATCTAACAAAAGTTCCTTTAAAGTTTAATACAAATGGTAGAATTCCTTCATCTACTTTCTGGGGAAAAGGAATAAAATCTTTCTATAGTTCGAAAATGAAAGGAAAATGACAATTACTCAGCATTTTGAACGCTGGAAACCAATATTGTTTCAACACAAAATACTTTTTAATAGCGTGCCTTGACATCACATTGGTGGACAATGACTGGTCTTTGAGACGTGTTCACAAAATGCTGTCCTTCCTAGAACATTTTCTTGTACAATTCCATCTTACATAACTCAATCAAATCATCTACTTATTTTCATAGAACCAAAAAATCTCTTGCAATTTTGGTTTTCATAAATCCTTCCTTGTAAAAGAAAAAAAAGAAAAAAGAAAAGATAATAGTTCAAACTCCGGACTTTCTTTGCAAATCAGATGTTTTTTTTTTTTTGTTTAAAAAAAACAATATATGTTTGTTTATCCTTTAATATTCATTGTTATGTCCTCTTTTTTAAGAGGAATTTCACGTTAGCACTGGTTGAAAAGAAACGACAGTTAAAACTGATTAAATGTCTTTTTTTTTTCCTTACCACAATTGAACAGTAAGATACATGTTACCCTTACGTTGACTTGATTATTTCTTGTAATCGTGTGAAGTCATTGAAACTCAAAAGTTAATTTCAGTCAAGATTATGCTGGGTTTAATTATTTAATATTTAGCCAATTAACTTATCTCTTTACATACAGAACTTTTAGCACTCACCATTTTTTTCCATACTGGCTGAAAACGACATGGAAGGGAAAAGGCTTTTGAAATTTCACCAAAGTCGTCCTCTCTCTCATAATAACTTTTTTTTTTTTTTTTTTTTTTTTTTTTTTAAAAATGAAAGTGTCATAATAACATGATTGTTGTGCAATTCTTTTACATAATGCATGTCAATTATTGGGCAAAGTGTCAAAGGTGGTGACATTTTGGGAGAGAGCAATTCTGCCGTGTTATGACATAAGAAGCATACCTCAACTCTTCCCAATTGTAAATTGTGTTGTTTAAAAGGCAGCTATACCAAACATATTTACATATCGACGCAAAGTGTTTATTCTTATTTAAAAAATTAAAAAAAAAAAAAAACAGAGAAGAAAACAGAAATGTTTTCAAGTTGTACAGAAAATTGGGGAAGACGGGTAAAACAATTAAAAATCCTAAAATGCAAGTGCTGCTGACTCAAGTATACAAGGCCTTGGTCTTTTTGTTATTATGCATACCTCTCAATCACCTATTTGATTTTAAAGAATGTTTGCTTCAAATAAATGATTATTCTATTTTCATCTTAGTAGAATTTATTGAAAACTATAGTATCTATATCAAACTTTGTTAATTTTACATGTTGATTTGATTTTAACTAGATCTAACATGTAAAAATTACAGTATCAATTGGGCTACCCTACAATAAAAAGTTTCGACAAAAACATTATACCAAGTTTAATAACTTTATGGAAAGGTTTTTGGCATCATCAATACAGTCTCTAAAATTTCTTATGATGTGGTAATTTGATCTTTAAATTGCATGAGATGCAATATTCTCTCATTTCGTATCGCTTATTTGAGTTGAAAATTTGTGTTAAAAGGTGAATTTATATGAGAGAAAATATTATAGGAGAAAAAGAATTAAAATTTTTATGAGAGAAAATATCATAGAAAAAGATGTAAGTGTTTTGAAGGAGAATATGTTACATTTTGTTGATTTTTTTCTGTAAAATTTGAAATTCTTCACGGTAATTTTATGTTAATGACAAAAACTATTAAAAGGGTAAAGGTAGTAAAAGGGTACCAGGAATGAGCTACTTGAAAAAGTCTATTTTAGACGGGGAAAAGAGCACAATGTTCAAATGTAAAGTCACTGAAGGAGAAAAGGTATTGCAAGGTTAACTGTGCCTTTTTTTTTTTGTTTTTGTTTTTTTTGTTTTTTTTGGTGTTGCAAATTGGTCTCAACTAAAGTGACAACTTTGATTATCTCAGGCCTCGGGTGCTATGAGAAGTTATATTACTCATGTTCATCCCGCGGTGGTTTTTATTTTTTATTGTTTTTTTCCTCTAAGATAGGGAATTTATATAGTAATATTCATTTTAACTACTACTGTTTTAAACGTTATATTAAATTTGTATGCTTAGAATAATTTTGTGAGTCGGGCGTAACGTGTATACCGACAAATAAGAAGATGCAAAAACTTTATCATTATACTTAAATCTGACAATTAAAAAAGACATTTCCTACCATAAGGCCAAGAAAAAGGACAGAGTAATATTAATCAAAAAAATTAGCAAGCCCACTATAAAAAAATAATAATAATCAAGGATTCTCACTTGAATTCAACACCTATAGATCCATCCATGAGCTACCTCCAAAAACAAGAAGATCTTTCTCCTTCTCCTATTCCTTTCTCTTTTTTGTTGTTTTTCAGAAATATAATCCCTCTTTTCTCATTGAAAGAATTACAACAAAGTGAAAGTGAACAACAAATATTTTTAACCTTCAAAATCCCCTCCTCGGAGGAGTAAATTGTAGAAAAGGGTCAATACCAAAATAAACAATGATAACTTCCTTTCCTTATCCAATTATTATGCATTGAGAATTCCCAAATTCCTTGGCATCATAACCAATGACCAAATATCTTTTTCACGATATACACGTGGCAGGTCGTGATGGTTCAAAAGTCCAAATAATCTAATCCATCAAAAAATGGTAATTCAATCTGACGGCTGCCATGCCGATGCGGTCAACAAGGAAAGGTCTTTCCAACCCAACTTCAGGCACCCATTCTCCTCCACCAAAGTGTAGCCTTTCCAAGGGTACATTCCCAGCAACAAGCTGGCCTGGGCCGCCGGGTTTCCCCCGAGAGAAACGGGCCGAAACCCGACCCGTTTAAGCTCATCCCCCCATCTATCCACCTTAACCTCTCCGGTCCTCTTGGGTCCACCCACCGCCACGATGTTCCTAATCTCGCAACCAAACAGCTGCTGCTCCACCATATGCCTCTCTAGGCTGTCCGCACCGGATACATCCCCGAGCGCGTCGAACAACGCGCTGTAATAATGCAGGGCCTCGACGAACCTGCCGAGGAAGCTCCCGCCATGGCTGAGGTCCTGTTCGACGATCGTGATCAGCTTAGGCCTCAGCAAAGTCAACAATCTCAACGTTCCTAAATCGCTCCCGGTCACGTCGTACAGGCAGTGGTGCATCCAGTGGACCACCGTGGCCTCGCTCTGCCTGACGCCGAGTTGACTCGGATCGGTTATGCTTCCGATTTTGCCCTCCAGAGGGTGGAACTCGAAAGGGAGACCGAGTGAACTCGCGAAATCGGCGAGTCGCCTGCCGGTCGACTCGAGCAGCTCGGTGGAGGATCCGAACCCGGTTATCCTCATGGACCGGATCTTCCTCGACCGCGAGGCGAGGATGTGGAACAATCCTGGCCATTGGAGGCCTTGCATTATGTCGAGATCGATGACGTGGACGCGATCGACGCCATCCAAGGCCTGGAAGATGGCCTGGTTGGCGGTGAAGTGAGAGAATTTCACGAGCGGACTTATGGAGTTGTAGGACTGGAGAGCGTTGAAGATCCGGTGGGACTGGGCTAGGGCTAGGGCTTTGGCGGTGAGAGGAGAGTAGGTGCCGAGGCAGGAGCTGATCACGCGTGCCTGAAGCGCGTGGGCAAAGTACGCCCCCACTCGCTCCGGCGAAGTCCCGAAAGGCGACGACAGCTCCGCGATCTCCGGGAGGAGGTCGGTTGCGTCGTCGAGATTGTCCATGGCGACGCACTCGGCGCACTGTAGAAGAAGCCCTAGGAGTCTCAGCCCGGTGGACTCGCCTTCGACGACGACGACATCATCGTCCTGATCCTCAATCGCCTTTTCTCCGGAAACGGTCGCCTCTCCGGAGAAGTCGCGGGCGGAGTTCGGCCTCTTGCTGGACGGGTCGTCGCCGGGGGAGTCGCGGTCCACGCGCTTGGTCTTCATCGATGAGGAAGAGCTAGTGGCAGCGTCCGGGTTAGGGTTAGGGTTTGGATTGGGATTGGGATTGGTTATCGGGGATTGAGTGACTAAGCTCTGAAGCATGATTGAGTGAGGAAGAAGAATCGAAAGTGGGAAAGCTTTTGTGAGGAAAGGGACAAAGCGAGAGAAGAAGACAAGCAAAAGCCTGTGCACCCAGAGAGTTGCAGAGAGGTGTGTCAGAGAGAGAAAGAGGAGCTGTTTGGGAAGAGAGAAAATGAGGGAAAGTCGGAAAGAAAGAGAGAGAAAGTGACAGAAAGTTTGATAACTTTTTAGTAGACGTATGGATCGGAGAGTATGAATTATGATGATAATAATAATTTAAAAATAAAACTACACTTAAGAAAAAAAAAATACGTGGTTTGTTTTGTTGTCGTCCGTTTGGGTGTGTCGTTAAGTCCGTTTTATATGTTGGGGGCTAAGGGGAAAGGTCAAGAAAGATTAGGAGAGGGATTGATTAATTAATTAATTAATTAACATTTTAATATCAATAGCTTACTAGTTTATTAACTTATTACTCTTCTAATTGCGTCAGCCTTTTTGGGTAAAAAAATTGTGGCCGTGGGTTTGTCTTGGTGTTGGGACGTTGATGAGTCTATTTATGAATTATATATTTTATTCTTTGATTAATGTTGACAATGATGATTAAATTATTCTTGTTTTTCGGTTGTACCAAAGGGGAATAGACCATTTAGTTTTCAATTAACAATGGCGATGCCATTACTTTTGTTTGGAGTAGAAGCGTATGGCTAAAACATTGGGTGGAAATTGTCTTATTATTGTCTATAGGATCACAATTTGTGTGTAATCAGTGTCACTTTATGTCTTGCTCTTTTTTGTTGATGAAAGTTCACAATGATAGAAATTCTTTTACTGCGTCCGTTTGAAACAATAGAATTGTTCTCGTTTATAGGTTCGAATAAAAAATTTAAACAAAAAATTAATTTTTTTTATAAAATAAAACACAGTATAGTATCTAAGTTTTAATTGTTGTTTAAATTCACAAAACAAACGGTTTAACTTTTTAAGGTAAGATGAAACGTTGTTAAGATACATTAATTGAAACCATCCAAATAAAATTCACATGCGAATACTGTAGAAGCCACCCTCTCTAATCAACAAATCTTTGTCCCTTCTTAATTTTTGTCAACTCGAAGAATATTATGTCAGCGCAAAAGCAGGGGTACATCTCTCTGGTTTTTTTATTTATTTATTTTTTTTTTTTTCAGGAAGCAAAAGAGGGGGGACATTGCTCGGTTGTTTTTCTTGTGACCTGGTTGTAGTTCCCTTATGGACCTATTTTTAATGTGTCATTGTAATTTGTTGAAAGATTAGTCTAATTGTTTTGTATTAAGTCGTAAGAGTTATTATTTTAAGAATCAGAAGTCTTTTTTGAGTATATGACAATAAATGACTGTCACACACATCTATCATGAATAATATTAAAACACACATGTTATTTTTAATATGAATAATAAAAAAAAGACAGTGGGTTTATGATGAAACAACTGATATTAACAGTAAAAACGACAGATGTGAATATTATTATTCATATTAAAAACAACAGTTATTTATTGATGTGTCTTTTAATATTATTTATATAATTATTCATAATAAATGTACATGACAGTCTTTTATTGTCATATGTTTAAAAATGACTTCTAATTTTTAAAATAATAACTAATACAACTTAATATAAGAGAATTATACAAGTTCATCAGCCGGTTATGATGGGTGAAATTTTCCCCACAAAAGTATTGTTGGTCCAAAAAAAAAGTTCTTTTTTTTTCAACAATAACATGATACCCCTCTTTTTCACTTTCACATGCCATTTACGACGCGTTAACTATACAATACTACGTAGACTACGTAGTTCATGACCTTTTTTTTATTTAAGAATTTCATAAATATGAGTTACAATTATAAGATTTTCATTAAATGAATTAGATAAATTCATTGTCAAAGAGTTGGATTTGGAATATTCATTTTTGTGGGATGATTTGAAGAACACTATTTCAATGAAACCTATTGATGGAAATGTATTGTTTTTAAGTCACTTTTTACTTCTATATGTTAGAAATTAATAATGTGGTGAAAATCATCACCCAAAAGCCAAGAACATTCATGTTAGATCATCAAGAATTAATAAATCTGTAAGCGGAAGCGTACCTGAATCCATATTGCTTGATTTCTCTCTAGACTCGTGCAGTTTGTCTTCCAGATCTACACGTTTTCCTAGAGAACCCTTTAACTTTCTATGTGTACTCTTTCTGATGATGGAATGTCAGAATGAATGTAATGTTACGTGTGATTTGGGGACCATAACTGCCATTTATTGATAACTTCCCTGTTATCTTTTGGTATTTTTATTTTAGCTCATCATAAAAATAAAAATTGCCCTTAAGTCTCTACATATAAGGCTCACACCCTATTAGATACATTAAAGCCCAAAATACCTAAACTTTAGTAGATCACTTTTAATTAGGCTTAACCTTATATGACAGCCTGCAACACATAATTATTCACATATAAGCCCAATATGAAGGATCCAACAATCTCCCACTTGGGCTATATGTGTAACCTTATAATTATGCTTTGTAAAATTAACTGTTTGAGCTCAACTTTGCAGTCATTACCGAAATGTATCTGTAACCAATCCGGTACATCAATCATACCAACATAGGATCAAAGCAGCCTTCATTACAACTGTCGTAACTCGACCCATCAATGGTCACGTATGCCAATACAACTGAATGACATGGATCATGATGTGAATGTGTAGCATGGAAATTTCATGTAATGTGATCTTAACATGCCTATTTCCAACTGGTCCACCTTAAACCTTAGTGAGATCAAACCATACCAAAATCAGAGTGTGAATAAACCAAAACTTTATTTCTGCAGAAAATAACCTTGAAATATCCATAAACTGAAATAACTGAAAATATGTCTATATCATAGAAGCATCTAAAATTACAAACTCCCACTAAAACTGAATATCCTCTAATGACATGACACCCATATGAGCAGTGTGCTCATGAAACACTTTAGGTGGCAATCCCTTAGTAAGCGGATCCGCAACCATGGGGTGTACCGATGTGCTTTTTAGACAATTGTCCACTCTGAACTCTTTCCTTGACAACTAGGAACTTGATGTCTATATGCTTTGACTTCGTCGAGCTCCTGTTGTTGTTGGAATACATCACTACTGACTTATTGTCACAAAATAACTTGAGTGGCCTTTCAATGCCATCCACTATGCGCAGCCCCGTGACAAAATTTCACAGTCATATTCCATGATTAGACGCCTCATAACATGCTATGAACTCTGCTGCCATGGTAGAAGAGACTATAAGAGACTGTTTAGCACTTTTCCAGGAGACAACACCTCCAGCTAGCAGGTAGATATAGCCCGACATAGATTTCATACTGTCTAGGCATCTAGCAAAATCGGAGTCAGTATACCCAACGATCTTAAGCTGATCCAACCTCCGATACGTGAGTATGTAGTCTTTTATTCTCTGCAAGTACCGCAAGACTCGTTTAGCTTCTTTCCAATGGTCTTCTCCTGGATTACTTAAATATATGCCCAACATCCCAATAACGTACGCAATATCCGGACACATACAAACCTGAGCAAACATTAGACTTCCTATGGCTGACGCATAAGGAATCTTCTGCATTTCTTTTTCCTTAAAATCATTCTTAAGGCACTTATTTAGGCTAAACGTGTCTCCCTTAGCCACAGGAGTATCGTCTGGTTTGCAATCCTGCATGCCATATCTCTTGAGAACCTTTTTGATATATCTCTTTTGGGATAATCCAAGAATACCCGAGAGCGATCCCGGTGTATCTGTATGCCTAATACAAAAGAGGTGTCACTAAGATCTTTCATCTCAAAATTCTTAGCTAGAAATCTCTGGGTTTCGTGTGTTGGGAATAGTATCATAGAAGCATGAGATGTAATAGGATATTTATTATTTAATTAATAAAAGAGTTTATTCATCATTTTATGTGCATATATTTATGAATATTTTATGAATATTAAATGAAAATTCTGTGATTGTTTATGTAACCTTAAACATAGTATATAAGTGTTATATACGAGAGGATAATGTTTAAGGATAATAATCAAAAACATTGTTCATGATGAATTTAATTAAAGTTTAGAATCTTTAATTAAAACATTATTAATACATGTCATTCCCATTTAGAATGGAACGGTGTTATCCGCACTGTTAATATGGCGAGATATTAAATAACTGTATTTTGCATAATAAGATTATGTGAAACAAGGACACAGACACAATATGAATTTCTAATCATTTCCGTTAAGCATAGAAATTCTAATTGAGTCTACCGATGGTCATATATAGGATGATCTTAATCATGAGTTCTTAACAAACTCCTATTTATGGATTTATGTCTTTTGATTTACTCAATACGGATTCCGAAACCCTGAATCTTATTCCTTGTATTTTGGAGACATAATGAAATAGGTAGCTGGGAATGTTATTATACGAGATAGAATCTATTCCTTCTTGAAAAAGAAGTAGAAAAATAATTCTCTTGAGTGTTGATTCGGTACTTGGATTAGTAAGAGCGCTCTGGTTCATGAATGTGTTTTATGAATCACTATCCATTAGAGAATCAATGGTACTCA